GATTTTTGTAAGGGTGGCTTCCTTGGACCAGCTGATCAGGGACAGAAACACAAAGACCCTTGCAGAGCAGAATGTTACCACTGAGTATAAGTATTTATTGCTTTTATCACCCATATGTTCTTGTGTGCCAAGATAATATAGATAACTGGCCTTGTACTGATGTCCGTTTCCTCTGTAGAAGTACAACAGTGTTAAACACTTTTTCTTTCTGGAACAAGTTGTAGCTACCATTCTGACTTCCCCTCCAGGTTTCCTTTGGTTCCCTTTAATCTAACATGAACAAAAGGCAGGTTAGGGGAGGGACCATCTTTGTGAATTTAAGAAGAAACAGATAAAAACAACTGTTTGGTGTTTCATTTATTCTGGTGGCCTAAAGGATGTTTCTTTGTTATGATCTGATCTTAGTATGGAGTCATGTGGTTCAAAGTATGGCCTAGTTAAATGTATAATATGTTTTATAAGATGATGTTGACATTGTTTTGTCCATGGTGAGAATGTTCTTGGGTTGGTCCTACTAGTAGCAAAGTGAATCTCCAATAACCATCCATCCATCCATCCATCCATCCATCCATCCATCCATCCATCCATCCATCCATCCATCCATTATCTTACATGCTTGTCGCAATTGGGGTCGCGAGGGGTGCTGGTGCTTATCTCCAGCAGTCCAATAACCAAGTTATATAAAACTTTGACACATACTAAAAAGGAGCATGCCCAAGTCATTTGAAAAGCTTGCCACTGAAAATACAAATCCTTGATAAGAGAGAGCCAATCAATAATTTTCTGTCTTCAATTATTGCTGCTATCAAGGGAAAACTGAATATTTATCCATCAAATAAACTAAAACTAATGAGCAGCCTATCCTTAGCTTATCATCTTTGTTTTGTGGACCTTATGGGATAACATGTAGAGATGAAACTTTGGCAGGAGATGTGTCAAACAGCTTTTGGTCCTCCCGATTCCCCTTAAGACCTTGTTTTATAGCCTTTGCCACTTTTGGAATACTCCACACATCTGTCAAAACAGATCAGTTGAGTTCAAGCAGATGTCAGAGGGGCAAACTGAATTGCCACAGGCCAGTGCATTCTTCCCTCTGATGCGTCACTTTGGGTGTGTGTGTGTGTGTGTGTAAGGCACAGGCCAGTCAAGCAGACTCCTTCATAAGGAAAGGATTCAACAACAACCCAAGCCCCCGCTACATCCTATCAGCCTGCCTTTTCTCTCATCATGGTGCTCTCTACCCTTTGTTGCTCCTTCATACCCTCTTGTCACGCCTGCTTGCTTACTTTCACTCAAAACACATTTTCTGAAAAAAATAAAATAAAAAAATAAAAGTTCAGTTGTACCACTCGGCTCGGCTTTTCCAAAAACATTTTGCCTCTGGCTGCCTGCCTCTTTCTCTCATTCGCAGCAATCAAGAGTTTTTGCCTGCACCAACGGAGTGACCAGATCTCATCACTCAGGCAGTCGGTGCAACCGCAGAAGCAGCAGCAGGGGAGAACTGGGCCAAACTGAGCAGGAAAACCTCGTCCAAGCTCTGCTCCAAGAAGTCTGACGTGCATAAAGTGCAAACACATGCAGGCGAACGCCACATGGAGGGAAGATCTGTCATTCATTCACACTAATGTTTTTTGTTGTGACCCCTTTAATACTCACATATGCACACCAGGTCTCCCCTCATCTGGCTTGCCAAAATATGCTTACTTGTTGATTTACAAGCAGACAATCAGCACACACATACATGAACAGAGATTTATGCTCCAAGAGGTGAGGAAGGCAGGCCCCTTCCAACAAGGATTATCAGGTCGAAAACGGTGCACAATGGAAACCTTCATGTCTTGGATGGAAGTTAAAGTTAATCACCGTAATCAGAATAATTTCCTTTGGTCCAAACTCTGCTGGGGGACATTTATAAGCCCACAGAACACAATATAACACGGATTAAAATGTTGAAGTTGGCTGAGCTTGGCCTTTAGGAACTTAAAATGAAAATTTAACACAAAATGTGGAAAATGATCACGTTCTTGATATTTAAAACTAACTATCCTTGCATCGTATAACTCCTCCAACCTCCTTTTGAAATAATCCTCCAGCTCAGTGTGGTGAATTCCTTCTCCCTAAGGCTGACATGGGGGCCTCTGTAGAAATCATAGACCCCTAAAGACTTTGCACTAAGATCTCTGGAACAGTAAATATTTGTAATCCTTAGAAGTCTTGTCTATCTCAGGGCCCCAACAATCTCCTCAACACCACCCACTCATACAGCTCTCTCCTCCAAACACCTACCAGCACATACTAACCAAGTAACAAAGATATGAATGCCAAGTAAATCCAAAGATCCTTTCTCTTCAGAGTATAGACTTTCTATAAAGGTATTGCATGAGATAACTTTACCAAAGTTTTCATTTTTAAAGTTTAAATTTACATCAAAGTAATATCCAGCATATTTAAAGGTTTTTTCACACATTTTTGAACATTCCAACAAAACATGCAGGATTTCAGGAGCCAACTGTCGGTCACCGCTCAGAAAAATCAGAATCTGCAGATTGCCAATCACAACATCAACTTCATAAATTCGTCAATAGTGCTCTCTCCTGCAGAATGATATTGTATTATTACGTATCAAAATTATAAGAGATGAGAAAGTATGAACTGGCCATTGTTTTAATGAAGGAGGCAATGGAGACTAGCTTTCTTTATCAAAATGGAAGAGAGAGAAAATATTGTTGGCAAAGGATGAAGTGAAAATGCTGATAAGAGGTTTGCAGGTGACTTTTTAAAAAGCATTTTAATTCAGCCTTAGAAGGACTGTTTCATCGTTCTACCTCCAGTAGAAAACACGACCGGCAGTTGGCTCCTCTGATCATATATCATGCTTCCACCTCCAGCAGTTAGCCTCTAGAGGCTAGCCTTGGCCAGCTGTTGTCTCTCCATGCTCATTTTCCCTGTGGGCTTTCCAAAGTACTGTTGTCCTACTATCGGGCAGCAGTAGCCTCTCCCCTGCCTTCAGCATGTTTCCCCAGTGGACATATCCAATCTTCAGCCCCTTCAATCCTCCAAAGCCTGGCTAACTAGCCTTGGTCAGCTGTAGCCTCTCCCCACCCTGCCAGGTTTTTTTCCCGTCAGGCTTCTCTGATCTACCACTTTGCTTATTCGCTCTCCTCTCCAGCAGCCTTATCTCCCCGCTCTGGTGCACTGTCCGCTCTGCGGGCTCCTACGATCTACCGCTGTGGTTCGTTAGCTCCACAGGAGGGCACAACTGGCTGCCTCGTCCCAGTTATGGAGCTCTCTCTCTCTGGGTTCTCTCACACTGATTCCCGGTTGCTACTGTCTGAGCTGAGAATACTATCTCCCCTTAGCACTGTTGTCCAGTTGATCCATCCTCCTGTTATGGGCACTCTGACCAAAACAAACATGGACTAAGCAAATGAGAAAGATGCATATTAGCTCTGAGGTAAAACTCATCAGTGCTTCATACTGTATTCATAATGACTGATCATGGCTGATCATGTGAAAACCGGCCAATTACCGAGCACTGCCGACTGATCTAGTCTAATTACAACTAGACATTTTAATGTCTTTTCTGAGGATATGTGAAGCAGAAAGAACAATCAGATGAGCAACAATCATAGCACAGTGGTCAGGGAGACAATTCAAAGCAGTTTTAGGTTTTTAAACAATATCACAATCTTCTAACATCTCACAGAGCTTTTGCATCCATCATCTAAAAAATGGAAAGAGGATGGACAGGACCTACTGAAACATGAAGACATGGCCGTCCACCTAAACTGACAGGCAGGAACAGAGAGCATAGATCAGAGAAGAAGCCAAAAGAAGAGTGACTCAGGAGGAGCTTTAGAAATCTATAACTCAGCTGGGAGTTCACAGGACTACCTCTAAAAATCTGGCTTGGATGGAGAAGTCCAGTTTGTAAATAGTCATAAAGCCATGGAGAGGACATAGACACTGGAAGAAGGTGCTCTGGTCAGAAAAGACAAGAACTGAACTTTCTGTAGGTCAGAAAACTGACTGCACACAACCTTAGACCCCCCCACCAACTACAGACACCCACACACACATGATGATGATGATGATGAAAACACCATGTTTCCTTTTTACTTTTCACCAATGGGAGAGAAGTTGGTCAGAGGTTCTGTTCTACAAAGATCGAAATCTGACTCCATTTTCATTAATTAGATGCATTTCCCCTTCATTTGAGCAAGGGAAAAAAAGAGATTTTACAACTTGAATGAGGTAATTTACATTATTTCAAAATGAGAAAAAAACTCATCTAATTTCAAGTGCATAATATTTAATTGTCCCATTTCAAGGACTAAACTGCTCCATTGGAAAATCATCTTATACCTGCTGAAATTACACTAAATAAAGAAATTTTAAGATATTCTTAAAATTATTTTTTTAAACATTTATGAAGAGAAATAAAGGGAAATCCTTGAGGAAAACTCATTAGACTAAAATAATTGACTCTAAAGCAGAGGTTTATGCTTCAGCAGAACAAAGTGTATTTTACACTAACCTAGTAATAGTTATTACTTAAATCCACAAGAGAGTCTGTAGCAAGACTTTGAAACTGCATGTCAGAGATGCTTTGCATCCAGAATGGCACCATGGTTTGTAATACCTACAAACACCTTAATTTGAGTTTGAAACCTAGAGTGGTTCTAAGAAGTTTTAATTCGCCTCCTGCATGTATATCAGACCTGTCATGTTAGTAAAACCCTTTTTTTAATTTAAATCTCTATGTTGATCTATCATGTAAAAAAAACAAGCAATAAAACAGCTTTAAATATGTATGTCAACGTGAATAACCACCAACAATTGTGAGCGTTGTTGATGCTTTTGCGCCACAGAAAGTAAAACAGTAATATCAAACTAATTACTCTATTATTTACTCTAAAATGACGTCATACGGTGTTGCGGGGTCCAGAGATTATTAAACCTAACTCTGTTTAAATGTGTCCAACAGGTCAGGTCCTTACCTGTGTCTGCTCGCCGCTCTCTGACCTGCATGAACGCTGGACTCGGCCACATATCCAAGACCCGAACAGCCCCGAGTCAACACGAAGGCGAGCAGGTAAAAGAAAGTCTCCATCGTTACTAACTAATCACTGACACGTGAGTCCAAAGCTTGTCCTGATCAGGTTCAGCCTGATGTCCGCGAGCCTCAGTTGCGCGCTGACGCAGCGTGGAGCGGTGGAGCCATGGCTTCAGTCAATGGGTGGAGGAGTCCAGATGGATCAGAGGGTGAAGGACTCCTGCTGCTGCTGCTGCTGCTGCTGAGGAGGAGGTGGAGGAGAGGACTGAGAAAGTTTCCTGTCAGACTTCCAGCAGCTGAATGCCAGCTCAGGCTCCCTCTCTCTGTTCATGTGTCAGAGCTCATACGCCCTCCCTATCCACCCCCCACCCATACACCCACCTACATGTTGTTCCCTTTTCTGTTTCGCTTTTACATTCACCAGAGACCGCATTATTGCCAGTGAAATTATTTCTGATTCTTTCCCAAACGTAATCTTACATCTACTGTAAATAATGCTGCTGAGGAAACCAGACCCCCAGCTATTATGTTCTCTACAACAGGTGGAAGTTGTTACAGCAATGGATATAGAAAGTATTGTCCCTGTGTGTGGAAAACTTCACAATTATATCTGAAATGGATGCTGTTTTATTTTATTGAAAGACTTTCTTTTATAAACAAGTTTAGCAACAGTGAGGGGTGTTTTTTCCATAACTAGAACTATTTCAATCTGAAAACTCACACGGAGAGAAAAGAAATTTATTGATATAATTACTTAGTATTTGGGGCTCAGACCTCGGCAGGAAACGTAGCACTGAATTTTGATAGATATGCATGAACCGGAGCAAAGAATAGGCCTGAAACTGGTGGTGGAGTGGAGATAAATGTAGTTGGTCAGTCTGTAGACGCTGGTTAGAGAGACGGTATGCTGAGTTTTATGGGGAGATCCAGTGGATTATGTGAGCTGCAGATAGGGTGACCAAATTTTGGTTACTGAAAAGGAGGACACAGTCCTCCTTTGGGGGGGACAAGGCAGGTGGGGGGAAACACGGGGACGCAGGTGTCCAGGCTACCGTTACTGGGTCAGGATCGGTCACTCCGTCCTCCGCTGGTTAAATTTTTAATTCATTTCAAATCAGTTTATTTATATATTGCCAATTCACAACACATGTCATCTCAAGGCACTTTGCAGTTCACCAGATCATCCAGTCCAATTCATTCAAAGTTTTCTATCCAAGGAAAATCAGTTGATTGCATCGACTCATTTACTCGAATGCAATCCCTCACACTGAGTATGCTTGTAGCGACAGTGGAGAGGAAAAACTCCATTTTAACAGGAAGAAACCTGCATCAGAACCAGGCTCAGTATGAGCAGCCATCTGCTGAGGCCAACTGAGGTTCAAGGAGACAGAAGCAGACATAGAAAAAGCAGCTGTAAAAGGCGGCCCCATCAAGGACACACACAGCCACACAGATGAACTTGAGCCAACTCCCATGTCAGAGGATGAAGAGAGCACATCCAGCCAGTCACAGTCAGAGAAACAGGACTACACTGAAAAACAGGCCGCTCTCCAACATCTATAAACAAACATGTTAATGGCAGCAGCACAGCTGATATTTCTCTCCAGGTTGGAGTCACAGCCAAAGAGGAACAGACGAGGTGAAGCTACTATGAGAAAAAGCAGAGAGAGCATAATGTTAGAGATGCAACTAACAGATACTGCAGAGTGGGAGAATAGAGATAGAATGAAGCAGAATGATGAAATGGTCTGCCAGGGGACCAACCCCTGAAGCTGACGACTGTGTTCGAGTGCCTGGTGTGTTTCAACTACGTGCTGAACTAGAGATTCACGCAGGCACCTTGAAGATGGAAGTCCAGTGTGGAATGGATAATACAGGTTGGGAGAACCTGTCCATGATGAGCAAGCATGAAGCGACAGTGGAGAGGAAAAACTCCCCGTTGGCATGAAACCTCTGGCAGAACCAGGCTCAACACGGTGGTCTTGGGTCGAACTGGTTGAAATGAGACGCGGAATGCAGTAAGAGACGGGAGGAATGATACTAATGATGAAGTTTTAACTAAGATGGTGGAGGAGGGGCTGGAGGAGGGTTGAAACAGGGTAATCTGAATCAAAGTCACACAGCATTCAATTTTGAATTCAATTTTGAATTTTTTAAGATGGACTTTGGATTCTGATTGGCTTTCATGGAGGTGTGGTTCAAAGCTGATTGGCTGTGTCAAGGCGAGTAATCAGTTTACTCAGCTGAACTTCCGCTAGGCTCCATTTCAAAACTTACTCCTTTTCTTTTACTTGGACACCTCGATTATTCTGGTTAACTATTCAGTAAATAATACTTATAATACGGATCACTTTGTAGAAGTGACAAAGAGGACAAATTAAAATAGTCTTGCATAAACAGAATATTTATAGCAGAGGCTGAAAAAAGCCAGAAAAAGGCCTTTTTGAAGATGAACTTGTTAAAAGTGTTTCTCTTTTTAGGATATAAGCAGAAAATAACTTTGCAGCAATAGATATCTTCAGTTAGAGTTGGCCTGCAAGGTGCCAAATCCAATGCAGACCTCTGTGGTAAATGCTATTTTATGTTCCTGTAACCATCATCATGTTTTCATAAGAGTATTATTTACATTGGAGCTGATTATTATTTATACAGGAAATGGAGACAGGAGATGGTGCACCACCAATTATTTATTTTGTGTAAAGCATGTAGTGAATATGGAAGGTGTTTTCAATCAAAGCAGCTGTCTAATATAAAAGAAAATAGATACCATAGACCAAAATATTCAGGCAGTTTAAGTGAACATAATGTTTATTTTTTCTAATCTAAATGTGTTTCACAAAGCCTGCTAAAATAAAAGTAATGCTTCCACCTTCTGAGTAAAAAATATGGGTTTCCCTGTAAATCTGCAAACATCTTGATGATATAGCAAATTGCTCCACTGGTTTCATCACTACTGCGGGAGTCTGAAATAAAATGTCTCACTCTGCAGGTCTCAGTTGATCCCACTTCTCATTTTTCAGAATACATATTAAGAAAGCACCATACACTGAAAAGCCCTCTAAAGTGATAAACATCTTCTGGTACTAGCAGCTAAACAGGCTGGAAAATAACCACAGGCTTTAAATACAGCTGTGAGTTCAATTAAAATATTGATGTCAGACTATTTAAATCATCAATCTGCTGTGAGACGAAATAATCTAAAGGTAGAATTTCCACCATTTGATTTATTTACATCTAATTTATATTAACAGGTGTTGACTTACATGAATTTTACAGGAAATTGGTATTTTTATGAGACCCATGACTGTGATCTGATTTAGCTTAAATGCTCATACTTCACATACCCCAAGCTTTGTTCCATGTCAGGGGTCTACAGCCTGTGGCTACAGAGCCTAACATTATATAAAAAAGAAACTAATGTAATATAATATAAAATACCTGTCTCAGAAGCTTTTGCAAGTTTATTTATTTATTTTAATATATTTTTAGATCTAGTTCTTTTGTCATTAGTTGGGAAAGTACAGTGGGGCAAAAAAGTATTTAGTCAGCCACCAATAGTGCAAGTTCTCCCACTTAAAAAGATGAAAGAGGCCGATAATTCTCATCATAGATATACCTCAACTATGAGAGACAAAATGAGAAAAAAAATTCCAGAAAATCAAATTGTCTGATTTTTAAAGAATTTATTTGCAAAATATGGTGGAAAATAAGTATTTGGTCAGTTACAAACAAGCAAGATTTCTGGCTCTCACAGACCTGTAACTTCTTCTGTAAGAGGCTCCTCTGTCCTCCACTCGTTACCTTCATTAATGGCACCTGATTAAACCCATTATCAGTATAAAAGACACCTGTCCACAACCTCAAACAGTCACACTCTAAACTCCACCATGTCCAAAACTAGAGAGCTGTCGAAGGACACCAGAAACAAAATTATAGACCTGCACCAGGCTGGGAAGTCTGAATCTGCAATAGGTAAACAGCTTGGTGTGAAGAAATCAACTGTGGGATCAATTATTAGAAAATAGAAAACATACAAGACCACTGATAATCTTCCTCGATCTGGGGCTCCACGCAAGATCTCACCCCGTGGGGTCAAAATGATCACAAGAACGGTGAGTAAAAATCCCAGAACCACACGGGGAGACCTAGTGAATGACCTGCAGAGAGCTGGGACCAAAGTAGCAAAGGCTACCATCAGTAACACACTACGCCGCCAGGGACTCAAATCCTGCAGTGCCAGACGTGTCCCCCTGCTTAAGCCAGTACATGTCAAGGCCCGTCTCAAGTTTGCTAGAGAGCATTTGGATGATCCAGACGATGACTGGGAGAATATGGTCAGATGAAACCAAAATAGAACTTTTTGGTAAAAACTCTGCTCGTCGTGTTTGGAGGAGAGAGAATGCTGAGTTGCATCCAAAGAACACCATACCTACAGTGAAGCATGGGGGTGGAAACATCATGCTTTGGGGCTGTTTTTCTGCCAAGGGACCAGGACGACTGATCCGTGTGAAGGAAAGAATGAATGGGGCCATGTATCGTCAAATTTTGAGTGAAAACCTCCTTCCATCAGCAAGGGCATTGAAGATGAAACGTGGCTGGGTCTTTCAGCATGACAATGATCCCAAACACACCGCCCGGGTAACGAAGGAGTGGCTTCGTAAGAAGCATTTCAAGGTCCTGGAGTGGCCTAGCCAGTCTCCAGATCTCAACCCCATAGAAAATCTTTGGAGGGAGTTGAAAGTCCGTGTTGCCCAGCAACAGCCCCAGAACATCACTGCTCTAGAGGAGATCTGCATGGAGGAATGGGCCAAAATACCAGCAACAGTGTGTGAAAACCTTGTGAAGACTTACAGAAAACGTTTGATCTCTGTCATTGCCAACAAAGGGTATATAACAAAGTATTGAGATGAACTTTTGTTATTGACCAAATACTTATTTTCCACCATATTTTGCAAATAAATTCTTTAAAAATCAGAAAATGTGATTTTTTGGATTTTTTTTTTCTTATTTTGTCTCTCATAGTTGAGGTATATCTATGATGAAAATTACCGGCCTCTCTCATCTTTTTAAGTGGGAGAACTTGCACTATTGGTGGCTGACTAAATACTTTTTTGCTCCACTGTATGTTTTTTTAAAATAAGATATCCTATGTACAGTGGGGCAAAAAAGTACTTAGTCAGCCACCAATAGTGCAAGTTCTCCCACTGAAAAATATGAGAGAGGCTGGTAATTTTCATCATAGATATACCTCAACTATGAGAGACAAAATGAAAAAAAAAAAATCCAGAAAATCACA